TTTTTGTCCCTTGACTTTTGCAGGCAGGAAATTATCGGTGAATCCTCTCTAGGCCAACCTGCTGGGGATTCAAGCTAGAGATATCCAGTGCCTGCTTATTTTTGTGGAGCAGTGGCTAAATGAAAACCTGGCCTTGGCACAAAAAGACAAACCATTTACTCTTTCTTTTGATATGTCAGAGGATGATGAACTTGAGGCCCTTGACAAACAAGCACTCATACATTTGTCAGAACCCATAGAGATCACCAAACTCAGAGCCCCAAAAGGCAGGGTCAATAAGGCCAAGGTATAGAAAAGGATACCAGTGGGAACAGAGTTAAGTGGGAGGATCTCATTCACAGAAATAAACTTCCTGAGAAAGATCTACCCCACAAAGAATACCAGGATCTTATTTCTTTAGGATACGGAAGCTGAGATGAAACAGTGGGCATTTTCATATCATAAAGCCTTGATCCCCTTTGACTTTGTCTCTTAAGTCAGTTTTCTGAACTAGATATTACAAAGGATCTCACTCAGGACCTCTGTGTTTTTCTTACCTATTTTTCTCACAATATCTCTGCAGTTAAAAAGGACCTGAGAGTTGCCAGGAAGAGCAAAAAAAACAGAATTAAGAAAGGTTAGCTCTGTGTTGGTGCCTTTAGAGGATGCAAGTGAACAAAGGGTGGCCAGGAAATCAGGACAAATTGAAATCCAGGATGTTGCCTTAGAGCTGGAGCTGCCATTAAGTACTTTCAGCCCAGTCATATCCCAGGATGATGCTGAAACAAAGGAGGTCATGCTGGAAGCTACAGAGGCAATGGTGGCTGCAGAAGCCATGGAAGCCACAGAGGCCATGGAGGCCACAGAAAAATGGAGCATGAAAGATTATGGAAAAGTGATCACTAAGCTGGAAAGACGAGAACACATAAAGGGGCTTTGGGGGCCGGCCCGGTGGCGCACTGGAGAGTGCGCCGCTTGGGAGTGCGGAGGCCCTCCCGCCGAGGGTTCGGATCCCATGTGGAGACCGGTTCCCGCTCACTGGCTGAGCGTGGTGCGGGCGCAACACCGAGGGTTGCGATCCCGTTACCGGTCAGTAAAAAAGACAAAACGGAAAAAAATAAATAAATAAAGGGGCTTTGGAAAAGGCTACAAAATAGCAGGTGTGAAGCTGGACGAAAAAAAAGATTTGAAGGTTATTTCAGCAGCAACTACAGAAGAGTCCAAGAAAGAAGTCATACAGTTTTCTGAGCAAGAAGAAGCCACAAGGAAGAAACATGAAAAGAAGAGGAGCCGTGGTTTGGCTGGGACCCCTGGACACACAGTTAGATCAGACACCAGGTCTTGGTGCGATGACATTTGCTATCTTGTCACCTCAAGGATAGCAAGTTCCCATCCAGGAGTGTTAAGGGATCTGAGTAAAGAATTGGTGGACCTGGCTCAGGTGATGCTTGCTGATCGACAGCCCAGCTAGGATCCCTTCCAAGAGATCTGCCCTCTTCTAAAGGACTAAAGCTCAATCTCATCAGAATTAGATGACAGATTAGTGGAAGAACCACCCATCATAACAGAAAAAGTGGTTAAAGGAGCTGTCAAGGGCAAAGGGACAGTAGTATCAAAAGAACAACAGCCTAAAAAAGTGTTAAAGAAAGACAAGGAATTTTCTCAAGAAGTCAAGAAAAAGAAAGTTGCTTTCTTAGAAGATCACCTAGTCTGGGCCAAGCCTGTGGCGCACTCGAGAGAGTGCGGCACTGGGAGTGCAGCAGCGCTCCCGCCGCGGGTTCGGATCCTATATAGGGATGACCGGTGCGCTCACAGCGCTCACTGGCTGAGCGCGCGGTGTGGCCGGTCTCAAAAAGGACAAAAAAAAAAAGAAGATCACCTAGTCTTAGAGAAAAGGAAATTTAAAATAAAAGTAAGGAAACTGGCCAAGCAAGAAGGGCAAGTAGCTGAGGAAGAAAGAAAACTTACAAAGCCAGAGAAAAAACTAATTCAGGGAAAGGAGAAACCAACCAAGGTTAAGAAGAAACTGACCCATCCAGAAGAAGAAATGACTTTGGAAGAAGAAATACTTGCTTCCCCACAAAAGAAATTAACCACGCTGAGGAAGAAAGAAAACTTACAAAGCCAGAGAAAAAACTAATTCAGGGAAAGGAGAAACCACCCAAGGTTAAGAAGAAACTGACCCATCCAGAAGAAGAAACGACTTTGGAAGAAGAAATACTTGCTTCCCCACAAAAGAAATTAACCACGGAAGAGCAGAAGTTAGTCCTAGAAGAAAGGAGATTGACTAGAAAAAAGGGGAAACTACTAGGGAAAGGAAAGAGAGAAAAGTGATCTGGAAAGAGGGGAAAGCAACCCTGGAAAGGAGAAAGATGGACTGGGAAAAGATTACACAGGCTGAGGAGGAAGGGATAAGGGGCAAGGAAGAAGAGTTGCTGGTCTGGAAAGATTGGAAATTGGCTGAGGAAGAGGAGGAGCTGGGTGAGGAGGAGGAAGAACTAATCCTGGACACAGAGAAACGAGCTATAGAAAGGAAGAAACACATTCAGGGAAAGGAGAAAGATGTGGAGGAAGAGGACTGGATATGGTGGAAATTGGCCCAGGATCATTTGTCTAGAGAAGGGGAAGGACCATCTGGGGAAGAGAGAAAAGAGATATTAGAAAAGGAAAGCTTGGCAGAGCAAGACAATAAACTGACCCCAAAAGAGAAGAAATGGCTTGGAAAAGAAGAAGAAGAGGCCCCTAAAAAGAAACAAATCCACGAAAAGAAAAAACAGGAGAAACAAGACCAGAAAGAGAGGCAGGCTCAGGAAGAGGCCAAAGAGAATCAACAGTTAGCCTGGAAAAGAAAGAAACTGGACCTACAAAAGGATGAAAAGCTTGGGGAACTGGAGAAATTGTTACACCAAGATAAACAGGCCTGGAAAAAGGCAAGAAAGGCTTGGGAAAAGGAGAGAAGGGCCCAGGAAGAGGAGAAAACTGAGAAAAAGAGACAACTGGCCTGGGGAAAAGAGAAAGTGGACCTAGAAAGAGAGGAACAGGCCTGGGAAGAAAAGAGATGGAAAGAAAAGAAATTGGCTCAAAAAATGGAGAAAGAGTCTGAGGGAAAAAAACAACAGCCCAGAGAAAAAATGAAACTGATCCCAGAAGAGGAGAAAATGACCAAGGAAATTGAGAAAGTGTCCCCAAAAGAAGAGAAACAGATGATGGAAATAGATAAACAAACTAAGGAAGAGGAGAAATGGGCTGGGAAAGACAATTGAGGGAAAAATACAATGGACCCAGAAAAAAGAGGAAGAACAGGCTGGTGAAATGGAGAAACAGTTCCAGGAAAAAGAGAAAAGGTCATTGGAAAAGAGACTGACCCCAAAAGATAGTAAACTGGCTAAGAAAGAGAGGCATATTGCCAAGAAAGAAAAGGCAATAGCCAGAGAAGGAATGGGCATAACTAAGAGAAAGAAAAAAATAACCCAAGAAGAGAAAGAAATTATGAAAGAAGAGGGTAAGTTGTCCGAGGAAGAGAAGAAAGTGCCCTATGACATTAAGAGCAAGGAGAGGGGTGTTGTCAGAGAAAAAAAGAAAATAACTGATGAGGAAGGAATCCAGGCAGTGAGGCAACAGGGTATGGAAAAGGGGATTCGGTCTGAAGAGAAAGAGGCTAATTCCAGGGGAAACAATATAAAGATGAAAGAGAGACGACTGTTGAGGATCCTGGCTGGAGTGATCAGAGAAATGAACACAGTGCCTTTGGAAGACACAGAAATAACTGGGAAGAGAGATCGTCCATTATGGGAAGGAGTGAAACTGATGGCCACAAGTGGGAATTTTTTAAAGAATGGGAGGAAGTAACTAAAGAAGAGAAGGCACAGGTTCAGAAAGAAAGAAAACTAGGTGATAGACTGGCCACCAAAGAGAGGACACTGACTGATGAGAACTTGGGCCAAAGGTGATTAGAGAAGGTGCAGGAAAAGATACTACTTGATAAAGTCCAGGTAGATACTATGTTAAAGGCGTTCCAGCAGCAAAATCTGTTAGAAAAACGGCAGCTAGAAGAGCTTCTGAAGAGAATTGAGGAGAATGAACCAGAAAAGACCCAGGCAAAGTGGTTATTAGAGAATATCAGAGACATACTCGTTGAGGACTTACATGAGAGCTTCCCTGAGAAGGAAACAGAGGCAGGTGTGACTGTGAAAGGGGAAGAGGAAGAGATTCTGTCCAAGAAAGAGAAAAGGAAAAAGAAAGTAAGTCTGAGTGAAGAGAAATTGGAGGAGCACTTGGCTACTAAGCACAAGGAAAAGAAGTTGACGAAGGAAAAAGTGAGGCTAAGGAAGACGAAAAGAGAGGGCACAGTGGAGAAGAAAAGAAGCGCCTTAGTGAGGAGGAGGAGGAGGAGGAAGAGGAGGGAAGGAAAAGGAGAGCAGACCTGTGAGGCAGTGCTCTTAGAAGAGGAGAGTATCGAAAACGGAGTTCTCAAAGGAAGACGTGGGCTTCTCCAAACTAGCAACGGAAGGTGAGGACACTGCTGAGGAAAGGGAGGGTACAGCTGGAAGGGAAATGCTTTGTAAGGACAGCTTGCTTGATGGAAAGAGAGACTCCAGCCTTACGGACAAGGCTGTGGTGGCCAACAGCTCTGAAGAGCCCCTTCAAAATGCCACTGCAGGGAGCCCTGGGGAAAAAAGAGGGAATGTCCCTGAAGGTGTCAGGGGATCATTTGGATTTGGAAGAAAGACAGGACAGTCGAGTTCTTGGAGTACGGTCCATGATAAGTTCATTGGGAAGACAAGAGAACATACTCTTAGAGAAAGCCATGAAAACAGGCGTAGAGACCCAGATCCCAGAAACTCTCCACAGACCAGACTTCCAATTACCTGATATTATCACGGAACCACAGAAACCTGAACGTAGACCCGAAAGTGACAGGTGGAAGTGGTTTTTGCAGTATCGGGATTCTCTGAAGGGGGTTAACTGAGGGCCAGGCTTCAGCCCCAGCCCCAACCCCAGCCTCTGCCTCTTCACCTGAAATGCCAGCAAAAAGACACCGAAGGCCAGCATTCTCAGAAGCAAGCTTCTCAGATGAGGACTGGATTAACAGTGCCTTAATAAGACTGGAGGCAGGAGAGCCGCTTTCCTGGGACAGTTCCCATCGACTAAGCCAGCTCCTCAGAGACTTCACTTCAAAGGGATACTTGAAATGGGTGCATTTGTTTAATCTTAAGGCCATTGCTAAGCACTTCAGGCAGAACTTAGAGTTAAGTCACACTGATACATTAAAACCATACAAGGATGTTTTGAGTCCAGGGCACTTAAAAGTGATCCCGCCAATTAGAAGAAAAGAAAAAGAGAGTTGGCTGGAGCCATTTTCTATCCCTAAGCCAGTGCTACCTTCAGCCACCAAGAGGACTCAAACCCCACAGGCTCTCAGCTGGCATCTCTTAGCTGAGTCCTACAGGAAGAAGCAGGCACAACAGTTATCCACTGCCGTCAAGCCCCTTTATCCCTCTGTGGATAGAAAACCTCTGGCTTTGACTTTCCAGAGGGACTTCCTGGCCTTGAAGGGGAGGGGTGAGCTCCCCAAATTTCCCAAGGCAAAGAAGAAAGCACTGCCTATCCCTGCACCAGTGTTACCACCAACTATGAAGAGGACTCAAGTCCCACAGGCTAAAAATTGGCATCTTTTAGAAGAGGCTTACAGGACTGCACGGGTACAGCGGTTATGCAATGCTCACAAAGAAATGGAGCCACGACATTTTTATCCTTCCACAGGAGACATTTTTACAGGTGCCCATGCCTCTGTGTACAAACAAACTCTAGCACTAATGTTTCAGAAAGACCTTGGGGCTTTTAGGGATAAGGGCAGTCCCCACAAATTGCCCAAGCTGAGGAAGAAGACACAGCCTATCTCTATAAAAAAGCAACAGGTGCCTCTATGGGAGACATTTGTGGCACTGTACCATGTTTGCGGATGCTGCAGCAGCGATATGCAAAAGACAGCACTGCTTGGATGGAACAGTTCTACCAGCTCATGGACCTGTACCAACTTAAGTCCCCCTGAATCCAGAGGCTGTTATTAGAGCTGCTGCAGAGAGAGGAACTCCAACCCCGAGAGACCATCTACCAAAAGGCCCTGAGGACCAAGGAGCTGGTACAAGGTGAGTGGTTGTTCTACCACCTGTTTTGTGGCAGTTCCCATGCTCCTGCAGTTCCCCTCAAGTTCCAGGATGTGGTAGCCCTCCCTGAGCAGAACAAGGTGCATACTCTCCAACCTGTGGGCATTGCCCAGTATGGGTTTCTTGAACTTGCTTGGAAAAGCCTACCACAAGCCAAACCTTACTGTACTGGGAGGCTGCCCAGCATCTCCTGCTCTCTGATTTGGCCTAATATTAGGACTTTGGGATCCTACTGGAAAATGAGCCTTGGCCACAGGTTTTAAGTCTCCTTACTTGTTCCCCACTTCGAGGTGGAACTTGACGAGGACCCATTTTCATTCAGCTCCAGAAACCTTCCACTGTGTACTTAATAAAATGACATTGCTCATTTGTAACAAATATTCTGGCTTTTCTTTTTCCGCAAGCTTGAATCCCCTGGTAGGTGACTAGAGAAAACAGATATCCTTTGTCCTAGGGGAGACAAATTTTTTGGTCAGTGGGGCACATCTTTCAGAGGACAGGGGTGAGTATCTGGTCCCCTATTGATGGAAAAGTCAGTCCTGGCACACTTTCTTTCTTTGGCTACTATTTCCTTTCTTAAAAGGATCTTGGAGGGTGAGTGTCTGGCACAGTTGGGCTTTTATTTATTTAGCATTAATATGTTTACAAACATTGATTTAGTTCCTGAACACCTGTAAGCCTCGGTGTTCTCATCTGAAACAGTGGTTAAGAATGCTGACTTTGAATTCAGAATTCTCATTCTAGTCCTTGGTCTGACATTTACTAGCTCTTTGGTCTTAGTTCTTGTTTTTCTCAAGTGGTGATAATGCCTACCTCAGTGAAATGCTTAACACAGTTCCTGAAATATAGTTCTTTTAATGGATATCTATTTTAAAGAGAGATAGTGTGTGGATGCAAATATGGGTTCTAGAGTCAAACTAGAATTTGAATTCCTGCCCTACAATTTAATGTGTGATCTTGAGCTAGTGATTTCACCTCTCTAAGCCTCAGTTTTATCATGTGCAAAATGGGGCTCATTGTGAGGCTCAAATGAGATTCTGACTATGCCTGTTTTAGTGTACTGGGAATACAGGACGAGAAGTAATGTCTAGAGGAGGGCCTGGGATCCCAAGGAGTTTAGGGGTACAGTGGGAGAGGGGACAGAGCTGAAGGAGAGAACCTACTAAAGCAGGGAAGAGCTAGAGCATGAAGGAGCGCCTTGGAAGATGGGCAAAAGAAATCAAGACTCCTGAGGGGCCAGGGCTGACCCCGTGGCGCACTCGGGAGAATGTGGCGCTGGGAGCGCAGCGGTGCTCCTGCCGTGGGTTCGGATCTTATATAGGGATGGCCGGTGTACTCACTGGCTGAGCGCGGTGCGGGTGACACCAAGCCAAGGGTTCCGATCCCCTTATGGGTCACAAAAAACAAAAACAAACAGGGCCGACCCCGTGGTGCACTCGGGGGAGTGTGGCGCTGGGAGCGCAGCGACGCTCCCGCTGCGGGTTCGGATCCTGTATAGGACTGGCCAGTGCGCTCACTGGCTGAGCGCGGTGTGGGCCGCACCACACCAAGGGTTGCGATGCCCTTACCTGTCACGAAAAAGACAAAAAAACAAAGAAACAAAAAGACTCCTGAGGAAGGTAACAAATTCAAGGAAAAGCTTGGGAGCCTAGGAGATCAGATACATGGGAGTATTGGGAAGGGTTGCAGGGAACCCTGGGCATTTTCTAATTGTTAAACCTTTCTCTTTTTTCCACTCGAGAAGCCATTTTTAGAAATTTTATGCTTGATTGTCTTAATAGCAAACTCTGGCTCCTGCAACTTAGCTTGCCTGCTTCCTGCACCCACCTGTATTCATGTCCTGATAGGAGACAACAACAGTCTCATACCGCTCTATGGTCTGGATGCAAATTAGGCTCCAGAGCTGACCAATGGACTGTGTCCTACAATCATCCAATACAATTTAGCAGGACTGCATCCCTCATTTACATAAGAGGACCTAAGTGGGAACTTGGGCTGGAAGTTAGGGCGGGAATTTTGGCTATATAAGACTGCTTCTCTCCTTTGTTTGGGGAGACACCAGTCTAGGAGTCTTCACTCCCCAATGTTCTCCTTGCTTGCAAGCAAAAAGGCACTGTAACACCAGACAAAGAGCTGTAACACCAAATAAAGGGCAATAAAACTGCAACACTGATGCTGGTCTTGGATTCCTCTGTGTAATCTCCCCCACAACAGGAAGAAACCCTGGAGCAGGAGTCAGATCTCAACGGAAAGTTGTGGGAATCCAAGGGGAATAGTTGGAGCTGACAAGGTGGATAAGCTAAAAAGTCTGGGGAACAGATCCAATGGTCAGGAAAAGCACAAGAAAACCCCGTAGAAGTAGCAGATTCTGAGGCTGGAAGAGCCAAGGAGTCCTGGGAGGAGGAACCAGGGCTCAGGAAATGCCTGGAAGCTTCAGAAGAGCCAGAGTCCAATGGGGAAGAGTCGAGGAGAAAAGGGAGGACTCTGGGACCAAAGGAGAGGCCTCCAATTCCAGGGGAGAAGACAGAGCTCGTTGCAGAACAGAATTGGTTAAAGCTGAGCTCAGTTGCTCATCATGCAGAAAAATAAATCAAACCCTCAGATAACAAAAATAGCTGAGAAGGTGACTTTTATTAAGGCTGATGTCAGCCGGGAGATGGAAGGACAAGCCTTGAACTGTCTCCCCATCTGACCAGAGTCTGGGGCATTTAAAGGGAAAGAAGGAATGTGGGTGCATGTGGGGAAGGAGCAAGGAGAGGCACGGGATCCGCAGGTGTTTGGAATAAGATGTCGGGGGCTTGTGATGCACAGGGTCTTTGACGTCATGGAATCTGTGACTGGTGGTTTGGTGAGTTTCTGGTTCTGGCCTGGAAGAAAACTCAGAAACACCAATCTTAGCCATAGATCAGTGGAACACGAAAGCATCTGACTCTGACTCTTAACAAATGTTCATGCTTTGAGCAAGGTTATGGGTTATGGATGAACGACTAGAAGGCTTTGTTCACAAAGGTTGATTAAGCAAGTGTGAAAAGCAGAAAAGAAAGAGGCTCCGTGAAAGGCAGGGAAAACGCAGCTCTAGTTTCTAAGTGGAATGCTTTGTTCTTAGGGTCAATTAGGAAAGCAGAGGAAATGCAAAGGAGACTCAGCTTTTGCTCTTAACCCGTACGTTTATGGAGGCTATGTACAGGCACAAGGAAAAGCTTTTAAAAGAAACTCTTCTGGGGGCCTGGTTTCAAGCTCAGGTGATTGAGAAGCCTGTGAGCTTGGGGAAGAGCAAGAGCACAGAGAAGAGGGCTGCAAGTTCAGAATTAATTAAGTCTAAAAATTCAAAACATATCTATATATGAGGTAATTCCCTGCCCACCAAATATCACCTCAAATATCCCATGTATATCTAGAAGGGGGAAAACAAAATAAAAGGTATTAAGTCATGTTTAGTTTGAAGAAAACTGTTATAATCACTTTATTATAAGGGCTGCTACAGCAGGACAATAAAGAAATTTGTTTTTCTTTAACATTAGTTTTGCCAACATTTCTACAGTTCTAGAAATAATGGAAACATACAGAAGAAAATGAGCTTATAGCTGATTCATCTACATCAGCTAATAAAATTTTCAAACAATTGTTTTAAAATTGTGGTACAATATACATAACATAAAATTTACCATTTTAACTGTTTTTAAGTGTACAGTTCAGTAGCATTAAGTACACTCACACTGTTGTGCAACCAGCATTACCATCCACTCAACAGAACATTTTTCATTTTGCAAAACTGAAACTGTACCCATTGAACAGTAACTCCTCTTTTCCCTTTTCCATAGCTCCTGGCAATCACCATGCTACTTCCTGTCTCTATGAATCTGACTAGTCTAAGTACTCATATGAGTAGAATCATACAGTTTTGTCCTTTTGTGACTGGCTTATTTCACTTAGCATAGTGTTCATATCTTTTTTTAAAAAAATTTATTTTATTTATTGAATCAAAATTGATTATACATATTTTGGGGGTTGAACACTGAGATATGTTGATTAAATCAATATTACTAGCATATATATTGTTACAAATCGTAATTATTCTTTATGCCCCTTGTCCAATCTCTCCCCTTCCCCTATTCCCTCCCCCCCCCCAATTGCCCTAGATTTCTTCTCTCCTTCGAAAGAATAATGGTTACTCTGTTAACTTGTTGCCTAGATGGTCTGTCCAATGCTGAGAGATATAATCGGGTCCCCCAATATTATCATAGAGCAGATGCTTCTTCTGTCACTCTGAAATGGGTTTTGTGGAAAGAGACATTCTCTTCTTTGTCTCTGCTGGTGACTCTCCTTGTGTCAATGCACTCCAGTGGTTGGCGGACCATCTGCGTGGTGGTTGTGGTGTCTAGCCGCTTTTGCAGCAGGCATGGTTATTGTGGTGGCTGTGGTGGCCCACCCACGTGGAGGTGCTGTTTTTGGTATGCTCCTTGGCACTGGCGGTGTGCCTGGTTGTGGCGTGTGTTTGGTCCCCTTCTCCATGGGCAGGCCCCAAGGTGCTGGTGCCATGAGCCTAGTTGTGGGAGAGGGGGCCAGTCCCCTTCTCCATGTCCTGGGTCCCTGAGAAGGCCCCGAGGTGCTGGCTCAGTGTGCCTGGTTGAGGGAGGGCAGTCTGGTCCCCTTCTCCATGCCCCAGGTATCTGGGCAGGCCCCAAGGTGCTGGCACCATGTGCCTGGTTGTGGGAGGAGGGTCCAGTCCCTGGCTCCATACCTCAGGTCACTGGGCAGGACCTGAGGCACTGGCTTGGTGTACCTGGTTGTGGGAGAGAGGGCCAGTCCCCTTTTGCATGCCTCTGGGCCAGGTGGGCCCCGAGGTGCTGGCACGGTGTCCCTGGTTGTGGGAGAGAGGTCCAGTCCCCTTCTCCTTGCCTCGGGTCCCTGGGTGGGCCCCAAGGTACTGGTGTGGTGCACCTTGTTGTGGGAGGTTCTGGTTCCTGGCTCCATACCTCAGGTCCCTGGGTGGGACCCAAGGTCCTGGCTTGGTGTGCCTGGTTGTGGGAGAGAGGTCCAGACCCCTTCTCCATGCCTCAGGTCCCCAGGCAGGGCCTGAGGCACTGGTGTGGTGTGTCTGGTTGTGGGAGAGAGGTCTGGTCCCCTTCTCCATGCCCTGGGTCCCTGGGTGGGCTCTGAGGTGCTGGCATGGTGTGCCTGGTTGTAGGAGGGTGGTCCAGTCCCCTTCTCCATGCCCCGGGTCCCTGGGTGGGCCCCAAGGCGCTGGCTCAGTGCGCCTAGT